AATTTAAATTATACACAAATAAATATAATAAATGCTATTTAAAACTATTTATTACTGTCCTGTCATGAAAATAGTGCAACAGTGCAAAAAATATGAATGGTCTAAAAATAGGTTTCATTTTCTTTATCCTTTATTCATTTTATTTAGAATTTGAGTTAAAATGTGATCTGGACATGTTTTAACTTGGGATATAAGAATTCTTGTTAAATAAAAAAAAAAATCAGTATGAACTTACTCTTCACAGTTAGAAACACTTCCAGCGTTCTTGCATCAAGAGGGTTTTCACTGTAGCAGTAGTAGGCCCCTTCATCTTCCTTTGTTACATTGATTATAATGAGTTTGTAGTTGAGTTTATTATCAGACACAATATATTTGGAGGTGGTGTTGATGATTTTGTTGTCCTTTTGTTTCCAGACAGTCTTAGCTGGTGGCAGAGAGTCGGTCTCAGTACAGCTGAGGGTGATATTACTGCCCTCCAGAGCGGTTACCAAGGGATCTCCTAATGGATACGGCCTCTCTGGAAGACACATAAAATATAATGGTTTCAATTTAGCCAGAGATACAGTTGAAGAAGTGGAAAAAATGCAAGCTGAAATATTCTGGGAAGGTTTAAAGATCAAAACTCTTTAGTAACAACAAACAGAATTGTATATATAATGGCTGATTTTAAAGAAGTTTCATAGATTTCTTTGGACACACACGTAACCCTGGCCCAAACTCTCAACATTGGTTAAGGTGGCCCACTCAAAAACAAAAATTTTATTTGTGCTTTAAGCATTTCAAATTTAAACAAAAACTGGGCTGATAGTGTAGATTAGACAAATGTGATTAGAAAAAACCAATGGGGTCGGTAAGATTTTTATAATGTTTTTGAAAGTAGTCTTTTATGCTCACCAAGGCTGCCTTGATTTGATAAAAAACACAGCAAAAACAGAAATATTGTAAAATATTATTACAGTTTAAATTACCTTTATTCCATTTGAATATATTTTATAATGCAATTTATTCCTGTGATGACAAATCTTAATTTTCAGCATCATTACTCCAGTTTTCAGTGTCACATGATCCTCCAGAAATCATTCTAATATGCTGATTTGCTGCTCAAGAAACATTTGTTATCATCAGTGATGAAAAAAATTGTGCTGCCTAATATATTTTTGTGGAAACTGTGAAGACTTTAAGGATTA